ATAGAAGGAGAACAATGACTCCCTCAAGTTGCTCTCTGAGCTTCCACACACAAGTGGTAGCCCATCTCTTTCTTTCTCTCTCTCTCTCTCTCTCTCTCTCTCTCTCCCTCTCCCCTCTCTCTAGTAATAAAATAAAAAAATGCACAAGAGAGAGAAATGGGAAGGGAGGGTCTTGTGCTCGTATCTCCCATGGTTCCAGTAACAACTTAGCCAGTTTTTAATCCCCGTCCCCTGCTGATGGTGTCCATTTTAACTCTGACCGTCTGGGAAGATCTCTTGGTGTCGTGGCCTTGGTTTGAGTTTGGTCCAGGGTTCCTTTGTGTCTGTTTCTTCGGAGTCCACTGAGGTTCTGGGCCCTGCGGAGACATGTCTTCTCCAGCTGTGACATGGACCCAGGCATTCTCCCCTCAAATGTTTCCTTCTCCCCACGCCTTCTCCTGTCCTGCTAACCCTTAGAGTGCTTGGTGTCAGTGTGCGAATTTCAGATTCTTCCACATTTTCCTGCCTTTTTCCCTCTGCGTGCTCCAGTCTGAGGACCCTAAATATCCTGTCTTTGGTTTTCCTGACTTGTCCTTCATTGTATCCATGTGTGCAGGGCTCAGTCGTTGTACTCAGGGTCATGCATTTGATCCTGGCATCTTCTTCTTCATTAGCTTGTCGCAGTTTCTCCTCAAGGGAACTGCCCCCTTTGTTTATGAATGTTAAAAAGAATCCATTTTTTTTGTTCAAGTTTTAAATCCCAGATTTTAAGGACCCAAGCCAACCTCAGATCTTTCTATTCTGTTGACATTCACATTTTCACATTTTTTTAAACATTTAATTTTATTCCTGGGCCTGTGTAAGTGTCCGCCACCTGAGTGTCCACGGAGGCCAGAAGAGGGCGTCCAATTCCCTGGAACAGTAGTTTGGTCATGAGTCGCCTGACGTATGTGCTGAGGCCTGAACTCTGATCCTCCGCCAGAGCAGTGAGCACTATCGCTAACAGAGCGAGCTCTCCCGTGTCCCCCCGTCTCATTCTGTTCGTTAATCTTCAAACGCACTGTGGACACTCTGTGTGAAGGGTCAGCAGAGAAAGGCGTCCATCCCATTTCCGTTTAGAAGGGGAGCTTGGTCTTCACAGGCCCCAGCTGAGGCAGGCCTCAGCCTCTGTGTAGCCCCAATTGCCTCTGGTTTCAAATGCTCCAAGGAAGGAGCTGGACTCTTCCTGCAGCAGGATGGGACCTGAGCCCAGGGGAAGCCAGGGCTCTGCCTCGGCTCCCAGCATCTGTATTAGGGATGGCAGGAGGCGTCTCCCTCCTCTAAGACTGAGTTGCCGTACATTTGTTTTATTTTTGGTTTGTTTGTTTGTTTGTTTTGGTTTTGCAAGACAGGGTTTCTCTGTGTAGTCTTGGCTGTCTTGGAACTCACTCTGTAGACCAGGCTGGCCTAAAACTCAGAGATCTGCCTGCCTCTGCCTCCTGAGTGCTGGGATTAAAGGCGTGTGCCGCCACCACCCAGATGCCATGGGTTTTTATGGCTGTTGGGGGGTCGCCTGTTCCCACCAAGGCCACCTCACATCCTGGCACTGGAAGAATCTTCTAGCAAGTATTACTGTCATTTATCCGATGGTGGCAGGGTGTAACTCGTGCATTTTTGAAGGCCTGAAACACCGTGCATGGCCGTTTCTGGGATACCCCACACTTTACTCAGTTGCTGGTAGCCGCAGTTGGTGGGAGCAAGGACACCTCTTAGTTCCTCTGTCCCAGTCTTCATGTGTTGTAGGCGATGTTGGGGGATATTCAATCATACTGTGAACCCCAAGTTCGCATTTGTATTAATTAAACAAACTAACCGTGGATGCTGCGTTAGCAACTAGTTGACAGAAAGTAATCATCGAGCCTCAGAGGGCATCCGGGAGAGACAGAGAGACATGGAAAGAAGCAGGGTGATGTTTGGAGGGACATCTGGCTTTTTCTGGCTTGGCGAAGCCAAAGCAGTGGTCTTTCAGAGATGCCAGCAAAGAAAAAAGGCTAGCTAACTGTGACCCGGTCTCTCTGAGTTAGCAGGTGTTTACTCCAACCTTTGAATCTTGAAAGTCTTATTTATAAACAGAAGGATAGGTTTAGTTTAAGACACCTTTAGTGGCAGCAACAGAGTCGGTGCCTGCGGGAACAGGATTCCCACCAGGCTGCACCCGAATGGCTGGGGTAACTGGCGCAGCCTGGTAACTGAGGTGTTGCCATTACAGGCTGAAACAGCCACTGTGCTGAAGTTAAAACAAGGTGGACGTGGAGCACTTCGGCCTTGCCATTGGTTCTCTGGTCTCCTTGCCCAAACTCCTGTAGTGTCTTGCTTTTGAGGGAAGCCCCTTTTCCCCCAGCGATCCTCACTCACTCCAACCCTTCCCTTTGGTGTCTTGTCATTGTGCATGGTGAACCCTACAATTCCGGGCAGTAGAACTCCTTTGTAAGGAGCTTTTGTCCGTGCCAGTCTGGCTGTGGGGCACATGGCTGGCTCCTTGGCTGCCTAAGACGAGGTTCCTGCTCTTGGGCAGCTGATCTGGAACAAGAGTAGCTGGGGCTTTTCTCTGTGATGAGAAATGATCTTGTCATTTCTGCTAACATGCAATTCCTTAGGTGGCTGGCTCAGTGGATAAAGCATTTGCTATGCAAACTTGCGGACCAGAATTCAGATCCCCAGAACCCATGTAAATACCAGATGGGCGTGACGGCTCAGAAGGTGGAGACAGGGGGTACCCAGAGTAAGACTGACCATATGGGTGAACTCTGAGGTCAAGTGAGAGACTCTGCCTCGGTGAACAAGGTGGAGAGTGGTGGGGAAGCCTCTCAGTGTCAACCTCAGGCCTCCACACACATGCACACAAATACGTGCACATACACTCATACATATGCTTTTACACGTGTTAACATGCATATACACATGCACATGAACCACACACACACACACACACACATCCATGTGCAAAACACTATTTCTGTTAGGCTTCTTCATGTCCTCGGCTCTGTACGAACTGTTTCCAATGGTTCTTTTGCAGCCTAGAAAGCCTCTTTCTTGGTTGGGTGGGAAGGGTGGAGTTGAAGCAGACTCTCCCAGTTGTGAGCCTTAGCTTTCAAGGGCTAAGCCGTCTCTCCAGATCCTGCGTGCTCTCTTGTTAACGTCCTGGACCAACCAGAAGTGCAGCACTTTCGATATGGCTGCGTAGACTGTAGGGACTTTGGAGCATCTCACATGGCAGCTAGGTGTGGAGGTGTGTGCTCGGGGCCCCAGAACTTGTGAGGCTGATGGAGAGGATGGAAGTTCAAGGCCAGCCTGGTCTACCTAAGAAGCCCTGTCTCAGGAGTGAGAAAGGAGGGTATTTTGTTGCTCGAGCTTGAATGACATGGGAGTATGGGGCTAGGCCCGACCTGGTGGTGTGGGATCTGTGGGTCTGGTGTGGTGTGTGTGTGTGTGTGTGTGTGTGTGTGTGTATGTTGTATGTATATGTTCATGGAGGTGGTTGCATGGAGGTGCTTGAGCATGCATTTATATGTAAAGACCAGAGGTTGGCATTGGTGTCTTCCTCAATTGCTTTCAGCCTGCAGTTCATCAAATGGGTTGCTGCTGGCGAGTTTGAGAGATTCACCTCGGCCTTTGCCTTGCTGGAGCTGGATTCAAACTCAGGTCCTTTGTGTTTTCATAGCAAGCACCTTACCAACCAAGCCATCTCCCCAACCCACCATGAGTATGTGTGTATATATATATAAATCTGGGAAGGGATAAATTAAAGCCTGGCACAGTTCTAACGGGAAATAAAGCTTCTTGTTGTGTGCACACACACCTGAACTCCCAGCACTTGGGAGGTGGAAGCAGGAGGCTCAGGAGTTCAAGACCAACCTCAGTTACAGGGTAAGCTTGAGGCTAGGTTGGGCTATAGGACATCCCACCATCACCAAAAAGAAAAGTGAAAAAGAAAAAGTAAAATGAAGAAAGTAGAGTTTATGAACTTGACTCCTTTGTGCTGGCCATGGTGTCAGGGTGCTCGTGAGTTATGTCACAAGGGGACTTCTGTGTATTTACTTGATTCATAGAAGAGTTAGCTTTGTGGAAACATGTAGTTATAGTTCAGGCTCTGGAGGGAATTGTCAGTCAGTTTTAACTGTCAACTTGACACAGCTTAGAGTCACCTAAGAAAGAAATTTCAATGGAGGGATTTCCCAGATATAACTGGCCTGTGGGTGTATCTGTGAGGGACTGTCTTCATTAGTAATTGATAGAGGGGGGCCTGTGGGTGTATCTGTGAGGGACTGTCTGTCTTCATTAGTAATTGATGGAGGAGGGCCCAGTTCACTTTAGGCAGCACCATCCCCTAGGCAGGTGGTCCTGGGATGCATAAGAAAGCCTGAGATGCATGAGCCAGAGAGCAAATGAGCCAATGAGCAGCATTCTTCTGTGGTTTCTGCTTCACGTGCCTTCCTGCAGTGATGGACTGTGACCTGGGAGTGTGAGATGAAGTAAACTCTTCTCTCCCCTCAGTTGTTTTTGGTCAGAGTGATTCAAAGCAACAAAAGGCAACTTGGGCAGGGATTAAATGATGGTTCTGATTTGTGTGATGTCCTGGGTCTTGATTTCAATCCTTCTTATTCACGAATACCAAGAACCATCACTCCTTGGGTGCTTATGTGGAGTCTGGCTCAATCCCATTGGCTTTCTTTTGTGGAATAATCCTTTTGTACACTGTGAAAATGTGTTGCTCCCATTGGTTTAATAAAAAGCTAACTGACCAATAGCTAGGCAGGGAAGACGTTAGGCAGGAGAGCCAGACTGAGATAATGCTGGGAATAAGAAGGGTTGAGTTGCCACGAGATCTGAGGAGAAACAAGATAAGCATGCAGCGCTGAGAAAATGTACTGAACCACCTTGTAGAATGTAAATAAAAAATAAGGGTTAAGTAGTAAGAGCTAGTTAGTAATAAGCCTAAGGTATTGGCTGAGCATTTATAATTAATATTAAGTCTCTGCGTGTTTATTTGCTGGCTGGTGGGATAGAAAATTCAATTAAGCCATTGAAACTGATCCTCAGATGCCTCATTTTACAGAGGAGACTGATACAAAGAGCTTACAGAACATATTCAAGAACACAAAATGGGGATTCAAAGCACAGTAGTATAGCCTGAATTCACATGCAGAGCCCTGTACAGCCATGACCCAATGTGGCTGGCCCTCTATACTCACAAGCTCATGATGTCCCCATGTCATGTCAACCACCCATCATGGTTCCAGAACCACAGACACCAAGGGACAGTTATGTGTGTGTTTCTTAGGTGTGAGGTCACTGACGTCAGTGATAGCATGGGACAGGGCCGTTGCAGCCAGTGCGTGTCTCTACACCCCAGGTTTTGGCAGGTATTGTAAACTTCAATAGGTTGCGTGTGCTCACCCTCCAAGCTGATCCCCACCACAGCACCCTTGAAAAAACGTCCAACACTGTGATCCCCAACCTTGCTTGCATGTGGGAACTCCTGGGAGATTTAGAGATGCTCGCACCCCCCCTCCCCCAATGAAGTTCCACACTGCGAACAGTCATCCCCCAGCCTCTGGAAACTGGGAGCCTACTTCCCATCTCTAGAGCTCTGCCTGGACAGCTAGTGTCCCCACTCAACTAGTGTTCCCCCTCAACATACTCTCCATGTGTACCCCGTCTTAGCATGCACTTCGCTCCTCTTCATGGCTAAATGATAGTTCACTGGTGATGTAACACTCATTCATCCGATGGCATACATTAGGATGATCTGGATTTTTGGCTGATCAGAATGGTGCTGCTTTGAGCATCATGTATCCAAGTGTATGGGGGGGGTGTACACATGCTCATATGGGTGTGTGTGCACGTGTGTGGAGGGCAGAGGTTGACACTGGGTATTGGTAACTTGCTCAATTACTCTTTAGTTTTTGTGATTGATGTCTCACTGGGACCCAAGGCTCACCAATTAGGCCAGGCTGACTGGCACAAAGATCCTCCTGTTTCTGCCTCCCTGGCACCAGGATTGCAGGGCTTTTTGGCTTTTTATGTGGGCGCCTGGGAACAAATTCATTCTTCCAATTTACATAGGCATTGACTTCACTGACAGATTTGCAGATCAGGTTGGTCTTGAACTTACGGCAATCCTCCTGCCTCAGGCTCTTGAGAACTGAAATGGCAGACTTGGATTGGGGCTGTAGAATTTGGTCTCTTGCCAGAATCACATGACCCTGTGGTACGTTCTTTCATTCTTTGTTTGCTTATTTCTCTGTGTAACCCTGGTTGTCCTGTAACTCATTCTGTAGACCAGGCTGGTCTCGAACTCAGAGATACCCCTGTCTCTGCCTCCTCAGTGCTGGGATTGAAAGCTGCGCCACCACTGTCTGGTGATGTTCATTTCTTCTTACAGCTACCTTTGACTTGGGGCGAGTGAATTTTCAAAAATTTATTTCACCCGTGATTTTTCAAAGCCCCCTTTAAAATAAAATCTACTTAAGTCTATAATGCCAAGTGATCTGCAGGAAGAGACTAAGTAAGTACCTGGGGGCACAGACAGCACAGTCCCAGTGACTCCTGGAACTCGCAGGCCTGGGAAGCCTTGAGTGGGTAGGACTCCGGATGAGAAGCCCCAGGCTCACCCTCAACCCTGTCAAGCTACAGCATTCCTGTAAATCCCAGGACAAGGGACTTCCCAGTGGACCTGTCCCAGGCTGTGACGAAACCTCCTCCCATGACCCGTCAGCCCAGTTCGGCATCATCAAAGGGAGCAGACAACCTCTCGTGGGGAGGCCAGGCCTGCAAAGGGCCCTTTGGATCTTTCGGGCCGAGGCAGGTGGGCGGATACAAACTGACCCACTCCCTAAGGTCCAAGTGCACGTAGCTGGGACCAGGGAGTATCAGAAGGAGCCCTAGTGGGCTCCCCTGCTCCAGACCAAGCTGAAAGCGTAGAATGGGGTGCCTGGCCTTAGAACAGAAGGGGCTGTCCTGTGGCTCAGATGTAGCGACAATAACTACGTCGTGGTGAGCACAGGAGCCTATTTCCAGATCTAGCCAGGAGCTGAGGGACACCCAGGGCCAGCGGGCAGCCAATGGATAGCCAGGGCCAGCCTGCAGCTGAGGGACACCCAGGGCCAGCCTGCAGCTGAGGGACACCCAGGGCCGGCCTGCAGCTGAGGGACACCCAGAGTCAGTCTGCAGCCAATGGATAGCCAGAGCCAGCCTGCAGCTGAGGGACATTGGGAGACAGCCTGTGACAGAGGAAGAATTCTTGCCTCCTATTTCTTCCCAGTTAGGGTGCTCAGGACACAGGTCAGGCCCTCCCAGCTCTGGCCCTGCTGGTGCTGCCTGGCTCCTCTCCCTTCACGTGTCCATGGCCTCCCAGGTGGCTTCAATTGCCCTCCTCACAGAGCAAGAGAGTGGAGCTCAGAGATGCCGGTTGTGACTCAGGACTGTGTTGTTCACCCTTGGCCACGCTGTCCCGAGGCCTCTTGAGCCAGACCCGGGGGGGGGGGGGGCTATGACACCCAAAGCAAACTAGAAGATCTGACTCCAGGCATCCGTTGTGATACCACGTTGGCAATGTCAGAGAGAGGAAGGCTTTGGGATCCCTGACGGGATTCTGACTGCCATCATGGAACTGGGTTCCAGAGTGCTGAAGAACTTCGTGCGGGAAGATGATGTCAAGGTAGGAGGGCAGCACCTGGAGAACTGAGGCAGGAGAATCGTAAGGGTGAGGCTAGTTTGGGCTACATAGCGAGACCCTGCCTCAAAAAGAGAGAGGAGTGGGGAAAGAAAGAAGAGACCAGCATGGCACTGTGTAGCAAGTCAACAGTGCTCAATGCTTGAAACCAAGCAGGGAGGGAGGGGACCTTGGCAGCCACTCCAGCTTTCGTTCCCAGGACAACTGCTCCTCCCTGCTTCTCCCTGTGCCACTGTCAGCATCTCCCAGTGTGACACTGCTTAGAGGCTCCAAGAGCAATATTGGCTTTGAGGCAGGTCGCAGCAGAGCCCTCAGGTGGGGGCTGGGATTAGCAGCCCCCCTCGTGGCCGGGGGGCCCAGCGGCTCATCCTTGGGGGTTTTCCTTCCTATGGGGAGGGCTGTACTCTGGCTCCTGGTAGAGGAGGAGGCTACACACAAGTGGCTTTGATCGTATCAGACCCCAGCATTCTCATTGTTTTTTGTTCCAAATCGCAGGCCAGGATTACATTCAGCCTTGCCTCCAGCAGAGAAGTCAGTGGATAGGCGGGGCTTATATATGTGTATGGAGCGTGCGCACGCTCTCTCTCTCTCTCTGTTTTGGGTGTGGTATGAGTTTATTTGTACATATATGTGATGTATTTTCAAGTATGTGTACAGTATATGTGTGATGTGTACTTATATGTGTATGTATATGTGTGATGTGTATGTATATGTCTAACTGTATGTGTATGTAATGTTAACATATGCGAATGTGTATTATATGCATGCATGTGTGTATGTGTTATAATACGTTTATATAGACATACAAATGTGTATGTATGTATGTGTCTGAATGTGGATGATGTGTGTGGATGTGTGAGAGGAAGGCTCATATCACCAACCTTTGACACTCTCCAATAAGCAGCAGTAGGTCCTGTTCACTTTCTCACAAAGTGAGACAAACAACGCTTCTGTGACAATATCTTCAGCTCAGAGACAGCCAGACCAGCAGCTGTCTTTGGTAGCAGAGAGACACAGAGAGAGCATGCGTGGTCTACGATTAACCGCTACCAAGTGAAGGAAACAGAGCCTGCTCATCCCTCCAGGAGCAGCCAAGTCACTGTCCTTCCTAAGCTGCTGGTCTGGCTGTCTCTGAGCTGAAGACATTGTCACAGAAGCGTTGTTTGTCTCTGAGATGAAGACAGCGTGGATCCAGTCAGGAGCCTGCAGGTGCAGCAATGTCTGGCCCACACCAATTGCTTCACTTCGCAGGTGGGGAAACTGAGGCCCAAGGAAACCTGAACTCTCAGAGCTCACAGAGGCAGCTAGAAACAGAGATCGGCCAGGCCTTGAGTTCAAGGCTGTGCTCTGAGTCCAGAATATGTCTAGAAAGGGTCTTTGCCTCTGACTTTTATCTAAATGGATGAGACTATGTTCCCCAAAGTCCCACACAACCAAGCAAGGCAGCAGGAGCTAGAGACAAGCATGATTTCTCAGGCCCGGGAATTCTCTGCATGGGTTCATATTCTTTGGACTTCAGGTAACCAAATGACAGCAGCCTTTATGTGAGTGATAAGGAGATGCTTACTTCCATGAGCAGTGAGATGGGGAACGGGGCTGGGGTGAAGCCATGGCAGAGGGCGGGTTCAGTCTCCACCTGTGTTGTGGCCTCAAACTCTCAACATGGCTATAGAAGCTCCAGCCAGCGCGTTTTAAAAACAGGAAGTGTTGCAGGGCATGGTGGCGCACATCTTTAATTGAAGCTCTCAGGAGGCAGAGGCAGGCGGATCTCTATGAGTTTGAAGCCAGTCTGGTCTACAGAGTGAGTACCAGGACTACCAGAGCTACACAGTAGAAACCCTGGCCCCTGAAAAGAAAATAATTAAAAGCAGGAAATGCTGAGGGGTTATGTCTGGACAGGGGAGAGCCCTCGTATCCTCTCCTGTCAGAGGCACCTTTGCAGATCTGCCCTGGTGTCTCATTGTCCAGCCAGTGGCCATGTGCCATCCCTCTATCAAAGACTAGCCAGACAAAAGGTACATTATGCAGTGCCCACTGGGGTTGGCTCCATAGGAAGCCCAGGGTGTCTGACAACTCTGGGGAAAGCTGACTCAACTCCTTCATCTGGAAGAGGCTGTCTCCTGCCCTCCCAGCATGCATTTCAGCTTTCCTCTTGGCATCCCTTTGCTTCTCAGCTTGTTAGAAAAACAGATTCTTCAGCGAGGGAAGCAGGAACTGGCCTGGCTACTTGGTTTACAGTGGGCTGCTTTGGCCCGTCCTCAGGCCTAGCTACTCAGTTCACAGTGGACTGCCAGGACACGTCCTCAGTCTGTGAACGTCACCACCTGAGTGGCTTCATGACAGTGCTTGCTCATTGTGGCCATGTCCCATGTGAATGGTGACATCTGTTTGTGTCAGTTTCTCAGTTTCTCTTAAGGAAGGACTGAGGTTTCAGGTGGGGACAGCAATCAGCCTCTGACTATCAAGCCTTGGGGTGTAGGTCTCCTGTGTACCAACGGGAGACTGGCTCAGGCTCTTGCTTCGCCCGAGGGAAGCCCACTGAAGTCTCTACTGTGGGATGATAAAGGGCTGGCCATCCGTCCCATCTTCCCACATCTCTGAAGGCCATCTGGCTGTGGGTGTTGCTGTTCCCCCTCCTGGCTCACCTCCCCCAGCCCTTTCCTGTTCCCTCCTGCTCAGGGAGACTCAGACAAGCACCACACACAGGCCCAGCTGCTGGTCCTCTCTCCAGAAAGCACTAGGGCTCAGAGGCACAGGAGGGGGTCCAGGCCTGCAGCTACAAGCAAGGAGACACGGATGGGCAGCCCACAAACTTCCTATCATTGGGGCAGCGTAGCTGGATTGAAAGGGTCCAGCAAGATAGTTCGGCAGGCAAATGCACCTGCTGCCAAGCCTGAAAACCCGAGCTCAATTGGCCAGGACTGACATGGCGGAAGTGGGGCTCTCACGTGTCCCGACCTCCTCATGCAGTGGTACAGTACACCCCGCCCCCAATGTAAATTGTTAAGTTTTTCAAAAAGTGTTCATCTCCCTGCTGAGTGTGAAGGGACACAGGGCCAGGCAGGAGCAGGAAGCCCCTTGAGGAAGTCCTGGTGTTCAGCAAGGACCAGGAACCTCAGGGCCATCAGTGGGACTTCCCCATCACTGGGGCTGCCCCACAGTCCAGCCAAAGTCTTCACCCAACACCTAGGTGAGGATCACATGAAGAGGAGGATGGAAGAGAAGTTGGAACAGGAAGAGCCACTGAAGTGGCTGCCAGTGCGGATGACCAGAAGAGGTGTCTGCTCAGCTGAGACCTGAGGTGAGCTGATGGGCAGGTTCACAAGAGGGGAGGGAACAATGGCAAGCGGAGGGTGGGGGAATGAGGAGGGTGTTAGAAGAGAGGAGGGGAGAGAGGGCGAGGGAAACTTTTCTTCATCTCTGCCTGTTCCAGAGTGACGATAGCATGCGACCTCTGGTGGCACAAGACAAAACTGCCCTGAATCAGAAGGCAGATGAGGGGCTGCTAGTAAGGGCTTGCCCATCAGGGCTGGGTAGCAGCAGCGCCCTGAGTAGGAAGGCAGTGAGGTGCTTGCCTGGGTGCAAAGTTGAAGTGTTGAAAGTTCAATAGCCAAGGCAGACAATTTAAGTTTTAAAATCATGTTGGGAGCCCAGGGTGGTGGTGCACACCTTTAATCCCAGCACTTGAGAGGCAGAAGCAGGTGGATCTCTGAGTTTGAAGCCAGCCTGATCTACAGAATGAGTTCCAGGACTACATAGAAGAACTGTCTCAAAACAAAACAAATTGATACGGTATGGCTTATGGCAGCTCATAGCTGCCTGCTTTTGGAAAAGTCTGACTGGGGCCTGTATTAACATTGGAGTTACAGCTCACACCCCACCCCCACAGCAGGGCCAGTAACACTGCAGCATGGCCCACTCATCGCATTCACCAGCAGACTCTTCAGGAGGCACCACCATGCCAAGTTTTACATTAGTAGCCGCTCATGGACCCAAGGACAGTTCCACGAGCAGTTACCTAGAGGAGTGTTGACCAGGGTCCTCAGGGTTGGACAAGTGCTGTTGTCCTGCTGGACTTCCCCACCCAGATACTCAGTGACTTTAAGCCCAGCTTCATTCCTCTGAGCCTGCTGCCTCCTGCGAGATACTTATCTCACAGAAACAAAAATAAAAACAAAACAAAACAAAAACCAAACCCTAAACCGCAGTCAAAGAACGTTGGTGAGAATGCCTCTTGCTTCCTGTGCTGGGCTAGCAACCTCTGTCCAGCCCACCACCCATCTACAGTGACAACATCCTGAGAGCTGACTACGAAAACTCCTCGCACAGAACATGCCATGCAGTGAGCAAAGCTACCCAGGAGGGGCCATTGCATCCTCTCCTGGCTGTCATATGCTGGAACTCAGGCAGAAGGAGCAGCTGTGAGGACTCAAGTCTTCAGACTGGAAACCCGGCTTGCCAACTTCATCGCAAGGCACTTCATCTTTGTTCTGCCTTCCCACCGCTTGAGATACACCAACTCCCTTCTCTACCCCATGAGCTTCAAGACCTATGGACACTGGAACGGTAAAAACCTATATGCTGCTGTGTTCTAGTCATCCGAAAGCCATAAGCCTGCTTGTCTAGAAAAGTAAAATTCAGAATGCTATTTCTGCATCTTTATTGTGACTCTCAAAAATAATTCAAGAATTTATCCATACTATATTTAATTATGAGAAGAGGGGCATATGCATGTAAGTAGAGGTACCTGAGGAGGTAGAGCCACTGGGTCCCTTGAAGCCTGAGTCCTGGACTAGAATCCTTTGGAAGAGCAAGCACCACAAGGCCACCTCTCCAGTGCCTCAAAAACACCTTTTATAATAAACTCCAAATACACCCATGTAAAAATACACACCTAAAACACTTCGGAAAGCAGTCCACTGTATCCCAGTCAGTCTACTGTGCTCTCTCAAAGTGATAGTTATATCCCACTAAACTGGCTTGAAGCAGTCTTCGTACACACACCCAAATCCCAGCAGGTTAGAGGGAAGAGAGAGAAACATATCCCCGCCTTTATCTCTCCAGGACTATAGTACTGTTCTCAAATCAATGCCACCTGGAATGCATGAGGTCCACAAGCCACTGTTTGGGAGAAAGCCTATTTGATTTGATCTGAAACACTCAGGGTTGGGCTGGGGATGCAGCTCAGTTGGTAGAGCACCTGCCTAGCATGTGTGAGGCCCTGGGCATTGATAAAACAGCACTGACAGACAGCACACACCTCTACTCCAACGGATGCAGGAGATCAGGAGTTCAAGGTTTTATCCTCATCATACACAGCAAGTGTGATGCCAGCCTGAGTTACACACCCAGTTCTGCCTAGACCAGGCCTTGTGCACATTAAGCTCCTGAGAACAGTGAACCGCAGGTGACGGTGGCAAGGCACAATCGCAGGCTACTTAACAACAACCCCACTGCCGAGCCCACAGCATTCTCACCGGGAGACAGTTATTATAGCAACTCTGCTATCCGACCATGGACCGCTTTCTCCCTCTCAGGCGCACTTCATCTAACTTCTTCAGCACTGGACCGGACTTTTTGGATGAAGTACCATAGCTCTTGAGAAAGGCTTCAAACACCGTCTCGGTGTGGGGGTGGGTGCTGAGGAAGGCCTTCTCCAGGACATAAAGGTCGACGCCTTTATCTTCCGGCAGTCCCGAAACAAAACTCAGCCCGAAGTCGATGAGCACGATGTGCAGCTGCTCCAGGGGCCGCCTCAGGAGCATGTTGGAGGTGGTGAGGTCCCCATGAATGAGGTCTTCGTCATGCATTCTAGCCAGAACCTGCCCGATTCTCCTGGCCAAGCCCAGGAGGCACTGGGGGTCTTTTTCGGTCTCCATAGTAGATTGGATATAATCTCGAACAGTCACTGAGTCTTCGATTTCTTCCATATATAAGCAGTTAGAAGCATAGTCCACGAAGAAGACAACCGGGGCAGCTATACCTGCAGTGGACACACAGGTGCTAGTGAGTGCGTTCTGTATGAAGGAGGCGTCACCTGCACAGGTAGGGCCAGCTTTTCAGTCTAAATCTACTTACTCTGGAGCAGGGCTGAGGAATATGGTGGGAATGATAGAACTTACCCAGAAGCTTGCCCAAGCCCTGCCCAAACCCTGCTCAGGTCCCACAGGTCTAAGGCCCAGCCCAGGGTGCACCAGCAAGTGTCAAAGCTTGTTCCTCTTTCTCAAAGTCACCTTGGGACTGGAATTCTTGTTCCTCTTTCTCAAAGTCACCTTAGGACTGGAATTCATTGCTACTCCCTTAAAAAAAAAAACCAAGGAAACAAGAATCCAGAAGGGAAAGCATCCTCGCATCCTCCAGTCTGAGGGCTACCTGACTAGCAGGAGGCTAAGCAACATGTCATTTTACAGACCCATCTTTTTCCAAGGACAGGCAGGTTCAAATCCCAGTTCCCTCCTTATTAGTGGTGAAACCTCAAGGTTCCATTAGCTTCTCTATATCTCGGTCTCCGATACCGTTAATGCAGTAACAATAGCTCCAATTAACTCCAGGAGTCTCTCCTGAATGCCAACCTCGTCCTCGTCAGGGACACTTTCCTAGAAACTGGAGACCTATCAATAAAGATGAAGGTAGCAACCATCCTTGTCTGATAACTTATAAAAGAGGGTAAAACCAAATGTATGAACACTACTTTAGAGCTCCATTAAGTCTGCTAGGACAAGAAAATACCGGCCTGTTCACTGTTGAGTTTTCCCAGGTGGCCCCCGCACCTATCAGTGCCCTTGTGCCGAGTAAATGCCTAAATATCTGTAAGTATAAAAGCAAAAAAGGTCAGTGCTTCGGAACCACAGACAGCCCGCGTGGTGGCTGTGGAAACTCGGGCACTTTCCCTTTGTGCCTCAGTTTCTCTGGAGGACAGTTCTGTTGGTGGAAGTATAAATGGTACTTTTAAAGACGAAAAAGGAATCCTTTCATGAAATCAGACGTTTACTGAATGCTTTATGAGCATTCAAACATATGACACATAGACCTTCTCTAATGGTCACAACATCCCTGAGATTCCCATTACACGCAAGGAAACTGAGGAGCGCTGTGCTAAACGACTTGCTGGAGGGCCATGCGGGAAGCAGCGCTTAAGAGTCTGAATCGGCGAGCCTGGCTTCTGGCTTCGGACACCCGCCTGGTAAGGCACCTGCTGCTTAAAACTACCAAATGGAGGGGGGAGGACAGTGAGCAGAAACGGCAGAAACGGGGAAACTGAGGCTAAAAGACACGTAGAGGGACAGTTGCCGAGCAACAAACCAAACGGAAATGCATCCCGTGCGACGCCGGGACTTCTTAAACACTTCTCTGGTCCCGTCTCCCGGGTCTCGGAGCCCTATTATGTCCCGTCCCATCCCGTCCGCCCCATCTCCCGGGCCTCGGAGCCCCGTCCACCCCCGTCCCGTCCGCCTCACCCGCGCGACGGCAGCGGAGCAGCGCCCGCGCCTCCTGCACAGTCCTCCGCCGGCCGAGCCGCGCCTCCAGCGCCGGGTGCCGGTAGCTCTTGGGGAAGCGATACTTCACCACGGCCGCGCGGCCCTGAAAGCGGCCGCGGAAGACGCGCGCTTCGGCGCCCTGCTGCACCAGCTCCAGGCCGCTCAAGAAGAGCCGGCTCCGCTCCCGCGCCGCGGCCAGCGCCTCGGCCTCCGCCTCCTGCTCTGAGGACGTCTCCGCCATGCCTCGGGCTCGTCCGACTCCGGCAGGGCCGCTTCCGCTCACCTCGGAAATCCTCGGGCCTCTTCCGCCGCACGACACTGCCTCCGTTCCACTTCCGCCCTGCCGGAGTACTGCCGCCTAGCGACCTTTCGGAGCTCTGGCTTTCCGGACGCGCCCCTTGGCCCTTCCCGAAGCCCTTCGTCTATCTCCGTTATCACTCGGCAAATTTCGGGCAACAGCTGCTCACTCTTCGGCTTTCTCCGAAAGCCCCTTGGTGATGCTCAGACTTTGGGAGCTGTCTCCAAGTTGGAGGCTCTTTTGAGAAAAGTCTTTTGGGGACGCTCTGCTCCTTTCTACGGGTTCTTTCCTTTCCGTTCCTTTTCTTTCCTTTCCGTTTCTTTCCTCTCCTCTCTTTCCTTCCTCTCCCCTCTCCTTCTCCTCCCTCTCTTCCCCTCCGTTCATTCTTTTCCTCTCCGTCCCTTCCTTTCCCTTTACTTTCCATTCCTTTCCTTTTTCCGCTCTTCTCCTTTCCTTTTTCTTCGTTTTTGAGACTGTGTAGCTCAGGTTAGCTTCGAAATCATGATCTTCCCATCTCAATCTATGGAAATATGCTCTTAAGCCAGAAGGAAGGAAGGGACTAGATCAGAGCTCTCTACCCAGATGCCACCGGTGCCTGGCATCAGCGTGTCAGCAGCCAACACCATTCCTCTAAGTTCGGTTTCCTCGTCTTCAGACTGAGGATGCCTGGTTCTGCTGAGGCCAGGGTTTATCAGAATTAAAGAAAAGACCGATTACCATGCCTGTGGACAGGGGTCCTCTTCAGATGGCCTCCCTGCCCCTACCTCTGCCTCACGTTCCTTGGGATCCTGTTGAAAATATAGACGAGAAGCCTTTTGAACTAGGGTTGCTATGGCACCAGCATCCTCGCTCCGTGGTCCCTGGGTTTTGTTCACACTCATGACAGGACCCTTTTCACACATCAGACCCTTTGTGTGGGCTGAATGTTTTCCAGCAAAGCTCATCCCGAACCAGTTCCCTTTATATCCCCCAGTGCTCAAGTTTGTAGCTTTATTATCATAACTGTGTCCACATGGCCATTGCTATGGTGACCAAAACCATCTTACCCTTTCCTTAGAAATCTACAGTGCAAAGATGCTGACCAGAGCCAGGCTTGCTAAGTCAGGCCGGGTTTAGCTCTTTAAACCAGAATCAAACGTTCAATGGCTCGTCACTGTGCTGAGGATAAAGTACCTACACCTTAATTCAGCCCATGAGGCCCTGCAGGGAGCTCCTGCATCTCTTAGAGACCCACCCCCACTCCCACACACCTCCAACACCCCACCCCTCCCATTCTGCTCCCTCTGCACAGTCTTTGCATCTGCTGCCTCCCCTGGGGGAAATGTTCTTCCTGCCCCTAATCACCTAGACCCCTATAGACATCCTTTCCCCCCCGCAAACCAGGGTCACTTTCCAGACAAGGCCTTCTGGCCTCTCTCATTAGGCCTGGTTTTCTAGGTGCCAACCCTGTCTCTCGGACTCCCTTTGTTTATGGCCATGGGACTGCTTGATTGATGCCTACCTCCCCCTATGGAGCTAGCAGTCAGGCCGAGGATTGTGTGGTTCCCACCCTTCCCCCAGCGCCAGAGAATGGGTACCAGCCTAGAGAGTCTTTGGGATAGAGAAAAAAATAGAACCATTGCATACCTGTGTTCTCAGCGCTCAGAGGCTGAGGCAGGAGGCTGCAAGTAAGACTTGAGGGGTGGATGCTGGGGGTACTTAAATTCAAGTTTTGACCTTTTAAGAATAGGGGGGCTGGAGAAATGGCTCAGAGGTTAAGAGCACTGACTGCTCTTCCAGAGGACCCAGGTTCAATTCCCAGAACCCACATGGCAGCTCACAACTGCCCGTAATTCCAGTTCCAGGGACCAGACACCCATGACAAAACACCAATACACATAAAAAAAAATAAAAGTATTTTATCACTTTTTTTGAGAATCTTATAAAATGTATTTTGGTGACTTTTTTTTTTTTAATTGCCGAACGGTGAAGTGGAGTTGGCGGCTTCTTGTCTGTCTGGGTGCTGAAAGGGCAGTTTAGAGATACGGGTGCAGACCTTAAAGGTGCCGAATGAGAAAATGAGTTGACTGGAGAGATGGGCCCCCGGCTAGGCCACAGCTGGTCCCTGTGACTTTACAGGAGCACAGGAGGCTGGAGATTAGGGGTGGTGGTAGGGACCCTCTTCATTTGGTTTCTCGGAGCAGATAGTAGTACAGTGCAGGTTTGAGTGGAAAGTCAACTATGCAGGCTTCATCCCAAGAAACATCAGAGAAGAGTGATAGGAACAGGAGGCTACCAATCCGAAGTGGGTTGGCCAGCTACATGCCACAAGGGCCAGCAAGTTCCTACTCAGAACAAGAGCCAGTGCGGAGAGCTAGTGTCTTCTACAGTGGGGAAGGTCCTAAGAAAAGGAAATTTTATCCAGGAAGAGGGGTAAAAATGGACAGAATGCCTGCAGAAGAGAGCGACTCCCTCCAGGACAAGGCCGGCCATTAGCAGTTGTAGAACTTACCCCACAGCTAGCTCTGTACACACAGACATAATGGGTGTTCTACCCTTTCTAGAATTCTACCACTGCAGAGAGAAGCAGAGACTTTATCTCTCCCCAGCTCTTACCCAAACTGCAAACAAACCTCTTTCCATTCACCGATTCTTGCCTCCTAGACTTCTGACAAAGCCTGCAACAATGACCCTGGGTCACTGAAGCACTGCCTCCAAACAGCCATGGGTGAGGGTCACTCATCGTACGATGACTTAGAAAGTGTCCCCGGTCGGCTCCAGCAGCAGAGCGGGGACAGAACATGACAGGCACTATGCTCTGACCAGGGTACACTTGAGGGGGCAGAGAACAGAGGCTTCCCTTTGGGTACAGTGCCATCCAGGGTGGGGACATTTTCATTACTCATGACTAGGGTAGTAACAAGTAAGAAACAAGCTTAAAGGAAATAGCCAGGCAGTGGTGGTGCACGCCTTTAATCCCAGCGCTCGGGAGGCAGAGGCAGGTGGATCTTTGTGAGTTTGAGGTCTACAGTGTAAGTTCCAGAACAGCCAGGGCTACACAGAGAAACCCTGCTTGAAAAACAAAAAGCAAAAAGCAAAAAAAAAAAAAGAAAGAAAATGGAAATATGTTTGAACTTGCATACAACATAATACACATGTGATTCAACTCTGGTTTGGAATAAAAATGTAAAGTTATAAAGGTTACTCAGAGTAACAATAGCTGACTTTGAGATTTACACCTAACTACTTATGTTTTTGCTAACTGATCAATACCAGGCTCCTAAAAAATTTAGATAAGTAACAACATATGTTTGTTCAATAAGGTCTATTTTATAAATAAGATTTATAAATTCCTAAGGTCTACTCAGGTTTATGGTATGATTAAAGGTTTTGTTTTGATACCAAAAGAACTTCTGTTCAAAGATTGTAGTAATAGGGGCGGCGGGGCTGCGTCCCCAACACCCCAGCCGCCTGCCCGGCTAGCTTATGCCCCGAAATAATTACACGGACACTGTATTCTTTTAATCACTGCTTGGCCCATTCTCTTCTAGGCTAATTCTCACATATTAATTTAGCCCATTTCTAATCATCTGTGTATGGCACCCCAGGATAGTCACAGCTACACAGAGAAACTCTGTCTCAAAAAATCAAACATTAAAATCCAAAAGAATATGATTTAAGATATATGTAAAAACTAAAATTTCAGACTTCTTTGCCTCTCTATGCTATTGTTAGACTAAGACTCTCAGAGTTCAGAGTTTTAGCCTTAACCAGTGGAGTTCTGATAAGCTATTTGCCTAGCTCTAGTACGCAATGACTTCTACCACCGTAGTCACAAGCTCGAGATCTTAAATTTCCTTTTGTTGTCTTCTAACTGTAGACTTAGAAGTGCTTCTCACGATGCTAAAAACATCTGTATAACCTATATACACCCACTTTTCTGGATAGAGGAAAATATGTTTATGATTTTAACCCAAACCATTTTGGATTCACAAACTTGTACTATGACTCAAACGTGTGAGTCTACTGCCTTTCCTACAGTGTGGGTTTCAGGACAGATTACAAACAGTGCTGATACTAACATTCCTGAAATTTCTGCCTTTTTTTTGTAAACTAAAAAAATTCTTGTAAGCTTCAGGAAGTCAACTTGAATCCACCCCTTGTGGATCAAATGAACTCCAGACAGGTAGTCAATCAACAGCCCATTTCCTCACCTGCCTATTCCGCTTATCCTGAGGGTGGAATCTCTTTGGGTTGCTTAGCCTTGGGACTCACCTTCCCCAACTACCAGAAACAAGGTCTAAAAGTTTCAAATGTATACCTAAGAAAAAAAAATGTTACCCTGAACTCCTTAACGTTACCTTCTGTCCTTAATAAAACCATAAGCATAACCACGAACCCTAACCCCTAAATTCTAACTCCTAACCATAAACCCTAACTCCTAACTCCTAACCCTAACTCCTAACCCTAAGGTGGGTTATTGTTCCAGCAACCCTCCAGTTCCAGGTGTTCCCTTAAAATCTATGTCCCAGATAGTTTCAAAGTGGCTAGCCCCAGGTGGTCTAGCCTCGCAGATTCTGCCTGTACTTCCCTAGCCCAAGATGGTTCTACAGAGCCTGGACAGTGAGTGAAACAGTCTGTTCTTCCAGAACTTGGCCAGTGCCGGTGGCCATGCCAGAGGAGCAGCAGGTAGCAATTGAAGTTCAAGGTTTCACCCACCAGGAGCAAACTCTCTGATGGGTCAATCTTGGACAGGAAAGGCCGTGAGACTACAGGCCTCAGAATGCCTTTTGCCTCTGCTGTGCCTTCCCATGTTTTCTGCTGCTATCTTTCTCTGGTTTCTGGCATGGTGTAAATGAGTGTGTGGCAATCCCCACTGCCTGTAATATAGTGTGTTTATCTCATGGAAACATCCTGTCCTATTGAACATTTTTACCTGTGAGTTATTATGAAGATAATTCCTTCCTAAACTCTGCAGCCTAACTGAAACAATGATTTTATATAATAATAATGTTAGTTTAAATAGAGTTTTGGTGATTAAAAA